CATAACAATCTGGCTAAAAGATTGGATATTTTGACATGCTTCACTGTGCTGGATCAGTTCACACCAGCTGTCCTCGAAAGGAAGTAATAGCTAAAAATACATGTTCAACAAATCTGCATAACAAAGGAGAGAGAGGGTGACAGAGAATAGAAGGAACAGGGAGAGAGATCACTACCTGCTTGTGAGAGACGATAATTAAAGAGGTGCAAACAAAGCGTCTGGACTGTCTGGGTTTTATGTCTTCTGTGTGCTTCTTTGTTCGTTTAGTTGTAATAATAACAAGCAATGGTTCTCAATTGTAGACTCCTGCCATCTTTACGCATTAATTTACCCAGATAACCCAGCCAGTCTCTGCCCACGGCAGTCTGACTCATCCCTATGGTCCTGCTTCTCACTGTGTGTGCGTGTGGGTGTGTTTGTTTGTGTGTGTATGTGTGGGTGTGTTTATGGAAATGCCCTCTAGTTGGACTCTCTCTCCATCCCAGGCGGTTAGGGAGGGGGCTGATAGTTTATGTTCTGTACAAATTACAAAGGGTTGAGTTACAGCGCCATAGCACAGAAAACAAAGATAAACTGTGAAATATCTAAACGATACCACCCTGATAGCTTTATTCAATTCATTCCTCCCGGTGTGCTTCTCTCTGTGCTACTAAGTGTAGCCAGGATTGTCTTTCTCTATTTTATGAGAGAGAGACGAGCAGAAAACGGGGCCTCCTCCCACCCTTCATCAGGCCAGAACCAATCATAATGACTTCTCCACAGGGGAGCATCCACTTCAATTATCCTCCCCTCAGCAGTGTCTCTGTATGAAGCCCTGGGAAACACTTTTACATGCTCAGAGGTAACGGAGAGGCTGAAGGACTTTTTAGAAACGGGGACATGTTTGTGACTCATTCTGGAAACTAGGCCGTATTAATATTTCGAAGAGATTTGGTGGAACACAGGGACAGGTTGTCCTGTCGCTCAGCACAACATCTGCTCGGCCCGCTGTGATGTGACTGTGTGTGTGTGTGTGTGTGTGTGTGTGTGTGTGTGTGTGTGTGTGTGTGTGTGTGTGTGTGTGTGTGTGTGTGTGTGTGTGTGTGTGTGTGTGTGTGTGTTTGTGTGCACGTACTGCATATCTGCTTGTGTATCTTTCAATTTGATTACCATTTAAGCTAGTGGCACCAAAGGACTTTATACAAACTGAACATGTATCTTTGAATGCACTGTTCATTACCTTGAGAAAGTGCGTCGAGATTGCCTATAGATAAGACAAATAACTGTTTCTGTCTGGGTGCCCACATTCAGACTCAAAGACTGCTATTATACAGTCATTCATGCCTTAATGGAATTAGAATATATCATTGAGAAGGAGCCAATCAGTAGCTTATTATGAGGGATCGGCAGACTTGAATGGGCGCTAGATGTGCAATTTGCCCCAGTGAATAGCGTACCAGGCTTCTGAATTATTCACTGAAGTCTACTGGAAAGCCTCTGTATGTGCTGGGCCATCGACAACTGAATCTGGACCTTGCATGCAGTAGAAAATGAATGCTAAATGATAATAGCTGATTTGTTTATGGCTGTGCATATAAATTGGATTTCTACATATGATTGAAGTTTAAGTTAATTGTCTTTGACCTGTTTATTTGGGTGTCTTTACAGTCATTGTCAAGACTAAGAGGCACGTGCTGAAAATATACATTAGCACACTAAGTTTATATTAATCCAGGACAGAAAAAAATCCCCACTATCTAGTTCTGTTGGTTGTTTCTCCATGAAATACACTACCCGGATGTAAAATAAGTTGAACAGTAGATCTGTTTTAAAAATCTACACATATGAATGAAAATATATCCAATTGTTTTCTGTCTGCTCTATACTGAGTGCCTGGTATTCAAGTACAGACAAACATTACAGAATACATCTTTTTTTAAAAGGACTAGCAGGGTACTGTCGTTAAGAAAAGGCTTTAATATTCCTCCAAAGTGATGTCTTGGTCCTGAGTAGACCTGACACTGTGTGACTACAGCCTCATACAGATCAATACCACTATCAGATTAATGTAGACGGGATGAAGAGTAGTGGAGAGAGAGGCGAAGCAAGCGAGAGAAAGATGTAGAAGGGAGAGACATAACTAGAGAGGGAGGGAGACAGGGGGAGGAGATCAGCTTGCTGTAATTGAACAATTTTGTCACTGCTGGGCAGCGGACACACCCATTACATAACAGCATTGTCCCGCATGGTACACCCATTTATCCGCCTGTATCTGAAACAACCCATCTACAATAGTCTAGAGAAGTATCTCAGTATCAGTACGTCACAGTGTTTGTGCTCCTGACAGACTGAATGCTCTCAGAGACCACAGGCCTTTTGTGGCAGACCGCCTCTCCCGAAGATATGAACCAGTGCTTTATGGCTGCTGGAAAGAGAGCAGGGCAGTGCAGCTGTGATGGAAACAATCCCATCCAGCTGTGATCTTCCTCTGACAGAGGAGACAGGGGGGAGGGAGGAGAAAACGAGGGATGTGGGAGGAAGTGAAGGGATGCTTAGCTCTGCCTCCAGGCCTGCATCATAGGGGAGATGATGGTGTTGGGCAAGAGGATTGGGGGTTGGAGCATTTGTGGGGTGCACGAGGAGGAGATTCAATTAAACTACACAAGGATGGAATGCATTTTTAATCACAGCGCTTCATTTCCTTACGTGATTGTCAGCCTTTGTGGGAGACAGTGAGGCAGCCTCTGAAAAAAGAGCTGGCATCTCTCTCTCTCTCTCTCTCATTCTCTCTGTCCTTTGCAGCTCACACAGCTCAGCGGGCCAGCAACACAATACACAGCAGCTTTGGCAGGAGCTGATATGACGCCACAAACTGTCATTTTACTGCAGCCAGAAAAACAAATCCAATCACCAGATATTTTATTCATTTCCAACTATGAAATGTCACTATGTATATGGCAGTAACTCCATGCATGTTGAAATGTTAATGAGACCACAAAGGTCATGGAAATCCAGCACAGATGATTGTCAAAGGGGTGTCTGCTGGTTTCATAATGTTCTTTGTCTTTGTAACAATGGCAGTGCAGTGGTTGCTAACTGTGTTGAAAGGTTTTCTCACTATATTTTCTGAATTCTAAGCTGGTGAGTTCGACTTTGTAACCATGTTGTGTGCAGTCATGTGTTTTAAATCTATGATAGTGGTCTCAAACGCAGAAGAGATGAACGTGTTGACCTGAAAAATCAAGTCTACAAATTACATCGCTTCCACTAAGGCTTTCTGCAAGCAATCAAGGCAACAAACTGGTTACCTCCTTTTCTTGTAGTAAGAGAGGTTGCAAGGGAAGTCTCTTTGCCTCGGACCCTCTCGGCTACCCTGAATCATTCATATGCACTGTTATGTTAGGAAAATAGCTGTGCACTCTTAAATATAGCTGCACACTCAGCTCCTGCTTCAAGCCAATGAGCATCATAGATAGAGCTCTGGAGGTCGAGGAAGCACTGTCATTACTTTAATGACCCTTAATATTCCTCTAATGACTACTGTCTTTGCTCACTGCTTGGTTCATTTGACACATACATAAAAAGTTGAACATTTTGAGAACATTCATACACACAAAAGGCTTTTTCAGTAATATAGGATGCCTGATCCATGACACACGTCTGCTGCTGGTAAGCCTTCCCATAAAACCATTTAATTCACCCTGCCTGAATGTGATGGTTCACTGAAATAGGCCCCCTTTTGAGCTCATGTCTGCATGTCTTAAACATCTGTGTGTGTGGGTACATGTGCGGTTGCATGTACGCGTGCATTACCATATGCACGCTCAGTAAACAAGCAGGCTGGAAAGGGTGCAGGCGATTTGAATATTTCTCATTTGAGTATGCAAAGTGGCCAGATAACCCTCTGTTTTCCAGCCTCTTCCAGCAATTAGAGAAATAAATAAATAAGCAGACTAATTAGGATGCTGAGAGGAAATGTAGAGGAAGGAAGCATTTTCAAGACCCCCGTATTTTCATCCCACACGCAGTGCATGCATAATCTAAATCATGTTGTAGCCATAAACACTAATCTTTATTGCTTCCGTCATAAATCATCTATTGGCAATATGAAAATGAACAAATCTCCAAAATAGGTCGATGGAATCAAGAAACATAATATATCTGCATATGTCAGTGACATCGATGCCCTGCAGCAGTGGAGCTAGTGCTGATAGTGTTCATTGGAAACACAGTATATATCAGGAAAGTACAGATTAGTGTTTCCCTCGAGCAGATGCCTTTGCCTGTAAACAATGTTAAAGGGAAACAGCAGCTTAACGACCAAACTCATTACAGCAGCAGGCAGATCAAAGCAACCAGGGATTCTGACGGCGTATTTACAATGTGTGTCTGAAGAGGTAGACTGTGGTTGTATCTGAATGTGTGCGAGTGCACGTTTGTGTATTTCAACGTGAGGGATGCGGTGTATAGCAGTTTTCATTCCCACTGCCTGAATGTTTTGTAAACCACAAAGGCCTGTGTAATCTACCTCTCACCAAGCGTCATGGGCTATAGAAACCTGACGATCACATCCATCAGACTTTCCTTACAGTTCTCATTCCTCTTTCATTCCCCATTTCCTTATTCTCCATCTTCACTATCCTTACTTGGATATTTCAACCCTTCCTAATCAAAATATGTATGGCTACATTAGGATAAATATGAGAGCTGTAGACCGCAGAGAGCATAAATAAGCCCAGTATACTTTGGAGTTGGTTGGGTGAAAGCTCCTCACATGCTGAGTTAACATTCCCAAAGTCTTCAGTGGGCTAACCCCTGCCAATTAATGGGTGAGCATCTGGGAAGAGACAAGAGCATATGTTGGCCTCTGTTCTCCACCTGCTATTATGCAGCGGAGAGGTCACCCAAATGAACACAGAGAGAAGAGAGAGGAATTGTGACTCAAGAAATATTCAGTTAAATGAAGTTTGTGACAGATAAGACAACTAAAATCAAAACTAAATACAGTAAAAAAAACTTACAAAGACATCCATAAGCATGTGCTCCAGGGTCACCTCCAAGTCCTCGAGTCGTGTTGAAAGAGTCATCGTTCAGCTCCCCCACAGAAAGGTCTTCGCCACACTGAAAGACTCTCAACCAGGATCAAGGCTCCAGCTTTACAGCCCTTTCTCTTGTACGTGTAATCAAAAGATACTGACGGATGACTTAAATGAGCTAGTTAGGTCATGTCAGTCATGTAACATCTCAATTCTCCAGATGATTGCACCATGACAGCTTTTAACAGTCCAGCCTAATTTGTCCACAGTCCCCACTCATTCTCCATCGGAGAGCTTCCCAAGCGTCCAGCTGTAGTCCAAATCTGATAAACAAACACGTCTATCTCCACTAGACTTGGCTCAGAAAACCGCCTGGATTCCGGTTAGTGCTGCAAACGCTTCCAAAAAGAGTGGGGAGACCCCTCAAAGAGCTTCTGTCGTTCCTTTGAGAAACCTTTAGCGGGTGATGAGGATTTGTGACAGACTACAGCCTTGTAGTCCCTTCCTCAGATCTCAGTTATGATCCATGGGTGGGATAAAGACACTGACAACCCCCTGGCAGAGGGTGGGTCTCACTGTTGTAGAGATGCACGAAGAGGAGAAAGAAGCATAAGCTAATGGTCAGATAATCGACTCCTATGTGATGAAGAAGTCCTACATCTGTTTCATTTTTTTTTTTTTAAATATCTGTCTATCTCACATTCTCTAAGTTTTTTGAACAGCACATCTCCTCCCTCTTTTTCCACTTTCTCTCTCTCTCCCTGTTTTTCTCCGTGCCCTTTCAGGTCTCTGTCCACAGTGGACGTCTTTGTGTGGAGGGGGAGCCTGGGGCAGTCTATGCCCAGTTCTGGGTGCTCTTGGCTGGGGTCATCCTCTCTCACACTGGGTTTTTCATCAATGGGCCTTTGTAGGGGTCTCATTAAGAGCTGGCCCTGGATGCTGAGGCTCCAATAGACAACTGCGATATGGCCCCGATCTATGACTGGAAGCTTATGTAACAGTGACGGGGAGGGGAGGGGGGATTGGGTGAGGGTTGCAGAGGACAGGGCATGTGGGGTAGAGGGTTGATAGGGAAGGAGAGGGTGGGAGGGGAAGATAAGGGAGCGAGGCAGAGAGGAAATCACTCAGTGAGGGAGAAAGGCAAGTAGAAGAAAATGAGGGAAGAATGGGGACCGAGGATGTTGGTGGGTCGCTCCATGGAGAGAGGAGCTGTTTTTGTTTTTCTGGCAAATGCTGCTGGAATGTACCCTCCATTCTTTCTGTGTGTTAACCAGATTCACAGAGAGCAAGAAACAGAGAGACTGAGTCAGACAGCAGGGGGGTTGGGGGGGAGTGAGTTTAGCTGGAATTCACCAAAAAACAGGATATGACTAAAACAGTAACAAGCTGCAAGGAGAGTCACATAAACTACATTTACATAAGGGTTGGGGGAAATAAAAATGTCCCTTCTAACATTATTTTGTTGGGAGACACAATGACTTATGAGATGATTCTATTCAGAACAAGTTTAAAAAAACAGAAGCACATAGATATAAATTATATCAGAGTCACGATGCATATGTTGCAATACCCATGCTAGGAGGGGCTGAGTGAGTCAATCGCTATATGCGCAGCAGAATATATAAATCATCTGACGGAGTGGATTTCTATATTCGCTCCCCAGCGGTATTCTGATGCAACTATTTTATCGATTGCTAATGTGGTTGTATCATTAGACTGATACAAACTTTAAAAAATCCCAAACTTGGTCGCCAAAGAGAGCATACTTGAGCAGCCATTTGACATGCCTGTCAAAATAAAGTATCAATATGGAAATGTGTGAAATATGTGGAAAAGAGTTAAGCAGAGAGAAGCAAGAGACAAGATAGAGACTGAATGACGCAAAGACATTCATAACATACGTTCTCTGTACACAGATACAGTGAGGATCATTATCCCAAAAATACCAAAAATCATGTCATATTACCCAAGTCTAATGTTGTGCACCAAAGTAACAATGTTACTCGGCGTAATGCAAGTTACTCCAGGAAACCTGACCATGCAATGATTTAAAAGGCTGATGCTGATATCGTCAGACACATTAGAGGAAAGGCAAGAGACGGTGGTTGTGTGTAACCAATTCACCTTTTTCCAATTGGTCTCTTCTCGCTTCGCTTCTCTCTATCTCTCAGACACATCCGTCTCTATCTCACCCCTGTCTCTCTCCTGCCCTCTTCCTTCTACAGACTCAGAGTGCCAATGACCTTTGCCCTCTGACCTCATCAACTCTGTGGTAAGGAGCGGTGGGGGATGACCAGCTCTACTGCACAGCCGTGATGTTCTGAGCACATACACACACACACACACACACACACACACACACACACACACACACACACACACACACACACACACACACACACACACACACACACACACTTACTTCCTCCCTGGGTGTTAAATTAGAGTGCACATATCCATCAGTCCTTTGTTGCCCTCAGGAGGCCTCCCTGTCTTCCTGAAGTTGCTCCTAATGCTGCCCGCTGTGAATATGTATCACCCCACCATTAATAACTCAGAAATATCCCTCTAATTCTCATCTGCATGCCGCTCATGCATTATAAATACCCTCCTGCATGGAGGAGATGGACATAATATGGCCAATAAGACTTGTGAAGCAGGTGTCACGTGGAGTCTGAATGCAATGAAGAGCGTTGAGAGCGGCAGGTAGCCTATCGTGACTGATATTCGTCATTAGAGGAGCTTAGCCCCCAACAGAGAGGCGGCACAGGACAGCGTGTCCCAGTGCGACTCCTTGGCACGGCTAGGGTTAAAACCCAGATTTCTGTGTGTAATCCAGTGTGTGTGTGTGTGTGTGTGTGTGTGTGTGTGTGTGTGTGTGTGTGTGTGTGTGTGTGTGTGTGTGTGTGTGTGTGTGTGTGTGTGGCAAGTGAAGGTAGAGGAATAAATGGTTGGTGCAATGTTTACAACAGTCATAACAGAGCAAGCTGAATATCATCTCATCTCTCTGCATAATACACCGAAGCAAACAACACATTATGTTCCATCATACACATAAAAGGAACACGGGTGCTTACAAATGAACAAACACAAACACATTACAGTGATATTTACAAAAAAGGGCAGTTTGAACAGTCAAGATATTGCTTCTGCAAGGAGTTATGTGACCATGAAGATGGAAATTACAAGGATCCCCTGTGAAAGCTGCCTCATGAACATCAACAAGCACAAATAAAGAAATAATAACTATTAAATAGATTTATACGCATATAAAAGCATAATGAAATGGTCATCATCATTACTTCACTACATCTTACACTACCTCAAGCTGAATCGCGCTGAAGCAGTTTAAATCAGAGGTGTTATTCCAATTGTCTTCATCACTGGTTTCCTCATGGAAGTTGAATGTCTCAGTAATCCAGTAAGAGGCGAGAGCACCAGAGTGTTGGCTAAAGCAGCAGCTAACACAGAGCATCACAAAATCAGCCTTAACACGCCTCTGATTCTGACTGATGCTAAAAGCTCCGAGGACAGTTTTGGTCTTCAATTCTAATTTTGAGCAACAGAGCAGAGAGTGTGTCCGTGTGAGCGCCATAGATTGTGATGTTCACCTGGCTTGGGAAATAAGCATATGTTGTAATCAAACTCTGGGCAATCTTCCAAGTGGTTTGCGGTTTGCACACACACACACACACACAAAAATAGTATCTATTCCAGACATGTTGATAAAGCCTCTTAAGCACCTGTTTGCAGCTAACTGTCTAAAGGGTTTACTGCCAGTCTTGTACACTAACAACAAGGTGTTAAAGTCTGCAGTGAATGCGACACACCTTCATCTGCTCGATTGTCTGACCAAATTGTTTTAAATGGTTTTATTGACTCAATGTATGTCATATTGTGAGTTGAATCTCCTTATGTTGCAATGTTATATCCCCACCACTGTGAATGCAATAATTCTTAACCAATTATCTAATCTAAATGTATCATGTAAGTCTGTTTTTGTATTTCTGTATTTTTATCTTTGTTCTGTCAGTGGTGCTGTTTTCTTTGTCAGCCTCGAGCGACAAAGAACAGCAAGTGCAGATAAAGGGATTTTGCTCAGTCATCCTCTGCAGCACTTCTGAATTTTTTGCTGTGTCACTCCGCACCCCAAATCTGTCATTCCACATCACAGTGGATGGCTCTCGATGTGTGTGTCTCTCCCTTGGTGCAGGCCTGTGTGTGGGGGTCTGTGAGGGGAGAAGCAGGTGCACTCCACTATCTTATGTCATTCCTGCTGCAGTGAAAGTCAACTTGGGGTTTAGAAAGCCCATTCTTACTGACACTAAGCAGAGCAAATGTTCTTTGAAATATTTGAGTAGAACAGAGTATCTGATATGCAGGGGGATCAAAAGGTATTCATAAAACAAACACACACACACACACACCTTTCACCTTTTCTAACTTGCTCACAGCCTTTACCTCTGTCTTCCCTGTCCTACATACAAGCTTTCACCACAGTGAGTGTGTGTCTGAAAGGCACTGAGCAGACAGAATGCGACAGAGGCATATTTTAAAGGCTGGTGTATGAAGGCGCTGGATTGAGTCACGCTCCAGCATTTTCTGCCCCAGTAAACTTAGCCCACTTTTCCCAGTGCCGAGGAGGCTTCCCAGCCTAAGTCCTGCACAGAAACAGAGGCACGCGTACCACCAACAACGTTAAGTAGATACGAAAAAATTGTTTCCCTGACACTAATTTTACAATTAACACTCTGGTAAGCAGGCATGCCTGTCTGCCAGCAAGTCTGCACGACTTTTATGAATTACTCTAGCGTGCAAACAGCACACTCATATCAACTTAGGATCAAGACATGCACGTGAGTCCCCATCCCCAAAGTCCACACACGATTAGGAATCTGATTTGTAGCAGCGTGAGCGTTAAATGTTTGATGATACGGCTACATATTTAATCTTAACAGGCCAGATCATGTGGGGAAATGGGTTATACATGATCGTAGTCCCAGGGGACAACACTGGGATACTGGGAAAAGGGGCAACATGGGTTAACACAATTTATATGTGTGTTATTCTGCTTTTATGATGTGGACAGAGAACTTGTGACCGGTCCCCAGTCCAATATGTTGGTTTATGACTACAGATATGGATGGTTGTTTGCACAAATTAAGATGAGCTGCTTTTCTATGTCCTACAAAGTTGGATTATTTGCATTGTTGGTAAACCATTTGATTCTTACCAATCCATAATATTACAATCCATTAATCCAATATATTCTACAATAAACAATTTTAGAAAGAAACAGCACATCCTTATATTTGAGAGTGAATGTCAAAAGTGTTTCAAAAGTGTTTCAAAAGTGTTTTGTGATTCAGTTTCAACGCTCACACTAATCTAAGTGTTCCTGCACTCCTCACACTCCAGCCAAAGAGTTGTCATTCCTCAGACCTTTGCGTAAGACTCATTTATCTACACGCAGGATGCAGCTGTGCTTATAACCCTCGTAAACCTCTCGGCCCCTCGGAACCACACAACTCTCCT